CCCTCTCGAAAATTCGCAAAGGGGAACTTTAAATATCCAGAAACCATAAGTTGTTAACCCTTTGGATCTGTAGAATGGATATCGCAACCCTTCGGCCTTGATTCCATGATAGATACCGTATGTCTGGGAGAAACGTGGCTTTTTCTGCCTACCCCTGGGCGTGAACCCGGACAACAAGGAGTTCGTAACCCGGTCGCCACGCAATCAGGTATTAACTAACTGAGCTAGCGATTTGGCAACAGAACGGCTTGCGTTACTTTCGACACTGGTATCGAGAGCCGACCGTTTAGTAGCAGGGGCAAACTACTGAACGTCAAACTTGCCTACAACAACCACAAACTGCCAAACAAGGCTGGGATTGGTTGTGGAAACGAACTGTAAAGGATACGCAGCTAACTATAATACATTTAATGTCAGCATATTATTACTGTTATTATTGTGCACTTAAATAAGGCAGAGGACCTAAGAATATTTATGAGAGGCTGAGGCACCCCACACCCCCATGTTTTATTTTTGTCAACGCGCATATTTCTGATGACGTCACCAAGTGACTAAATAAGAAACTGAAATGCGCCTGTCGCAGTATAAAATACTAGTGTGTTGCCGATAGATGTGGCTAGAGATGGTATAGGGAAGGGGAGTTGCCGATAGATGTGGCTAGAGAGGGTATAGGGAAGGGAAGATACCGATAAATGAGGCTAGAGGGGTATAGGGAAGGGAAGTTACCGATAGATGTGGCTAGAGAGGGTATAGGGAAGGGGAGTTGCCGATAGATGTGGCTAGAGAGGGTATAGGGAAGGGGAGTTGCCGATAGATGTGGCTAGAGAGGGTATAGGGAAGGGGAGTTACCGATAGATGGGGCTAGAGAGGGTATAGGGAAGGGGAGTTGCCGATAGATGTGGCTAGAGGGGTGTAGGGAAGGGAAGTTACCGATAGATGTGGCTAGAGGGTATAGGGAAGGGGAGTTACCGATAGATGTGGCTAGAGGGGTATAGGGAAGGGAAGTTACCGATAGATGAGGCTAGAGAGGTAGAGGGAAGGGGAGTTGCCGATAGATGTGGCTAGAGGGGTGTAGGGAAGGGAAGTTAGCGATAGATGAGGCTAGAGGGGTAAACGGAAGGGGAGTTATTAATAGATGTAGCTAGAGGGGTAGAGGGAAGGGGAGTTACCGATAGATGTGGCTAGAGGGTATAGGGAAGGGAAGTTACCTATAGATGAGGCTAGAGGGGTAGAGGGAAGGGGAGTTACCGATAGATGTATAGGGAAGGGGGAGTTGCCGATAGATATGGCTAGAGGGGTATAGGGAAGGGGATTTAGTGATCGATGTGGCTGAAGGGGTATAGGGAAGGGGAGTGGTGGCGCAGTATAAGAGTTTATTATATTGAGTAATGGAAAAAATAAGATGAGACCAACGTTCGCTCCTCATCCTTGTGATGACAGTGTTGTGCATTGCATGAGTCTTGCTCTTGGGACTAAGAAGAAGATGTAGAAGAAGAATAAGGAGGAGAAGAAGACGGCGATGAGGATAAATCTGACGTAGAATAAGAAGAGGAGGAGCACTTTAGGATGTTAGTACTTCTGTTGGCTACAGTGTGCTTTTAATGCGTGTGTATGCTAGTGCATTTGCTGAGACAGCAGTCTGTCAATCTTTCCGCAAGGGACTGTGATGAACATTATGTGTTTTTTTTCCGTTGGAACAAGAGCGGAGCAACTATGGGGTGACCAGTTTGCGATGAAGCTGAAACTAAGATTACCAAGATGAAGAGAAGGATGTAAAGGCGGAGAAGTTTGCTAAGAATAATGAGGAGGAGGAGGAGAAAGAGTAGGAAAGGGAGAAGAAAAGAGAAAGCCGACCACGTAGAAGACAACAATTATTCACAAATATGCACAGGGAAGGCTAGAGAAATCCACCACTTCCCAATGAAACATTTGCAGGAACTCAAAATGCCAGATCTGCGCTAAACCAGTCCTTGGACTAAACAACCTGCTGTACGCTACAACGTTAAACACACAAATATACAAACTACTTAGACATCGTCACAGCGCCTCTCATTAGTACGTCGTTCAAGTGGGCGGCAATCTTAGACGTTCTATACGATATCCGGTTAAGAGTTTGTCAGACGTTCACGGTAAAAACAAAGTGACTGCAGTCCAGATTTAGGAAAAAAAAAAATGACTTACTATTACCACCATCATCATCATCAGGTGTTTTGTCGACTGGCGTGGGCGATCATGCCTCTCCATAATCTGCGGTCTCCTGCAGCATGTATCAGTTCGTGTGCCGACACACCTCCATGTCATGCAGCAAGACTGTCAAGCATCTTCTCTCGTTGTCTTCCTCTATCCCTCCTTCCACAGATCTTTCCAGTGGTCACAACATGTTCTATTTTCCCTCTTCTCATAACATGGCCGAAAAATGATGACTGTCTCCTTCTCATGTCTGTGATAAGTTGTCTTCAGGCTCCCGCCTCTTTCAAAACCTCTTGGTTGCTCTTTTAGGCTGTCCAATGTATTCTAAGCATTTTTCTATTACCACCATCATTTAAAAAAAAAATGTTTCTCATATTTAGTTTTATAAAGTAAAGATCTCTTTTTATGTCTTAGGCGTATCAGGCATATGGGATGAGCACCCATATTTTTACAGACCAATCAGCACTAGGTGGGTAATGTGGTCAGCATTACGCCGGTTGTCTTTACTTCCCCAGAACATCTATCCTGGTACCCATTTTAGGCTGGGTCGACCTGCGACGCCCCATTCCATGATAAAAATCAACGCAGCCAGCAGTGGGTTTCGATCGCGGTAAGTTGGAATTACGAGTCGGATTCGCAACGCCTAAGCCACGGACGCAACTGCTTAGTTTCATAAGCTGGTATATGTAATAAAGTTCTATTATTATTATTATTATTATTATTATTATTATAATTGGGAGTCGCCGTGGTCTAGCGGCTAGACGTTCGCCTGCGGATCGGAAGGTCGTGGGTCGGTACCTGACTTTTTTCAGAAATGACCTTGGCTCCCAGGTCGACCCAGCCGTGGGTACCAGGTGCAGTCCTGTACCATTCTCTCCAGACCATAATGATCTATTCGTGCCTTCGCATTGTTCATTTTTAACCAAAGGGCATTGACCACATTTGGCTTGTCATGCATACATAGACCACCTACTGTTGCAGAACCAGCCACATGAACGTTTGTTGAGTCTGTACTTTGCAGTGATAGCAAAAGATGGTGACTTGGTTTGTTTAAGTCAGTTCTATGATGAAATATTTCTTATTTTTTTATAACCAGTGTTCGTTTTCTAATCTGTCTCTGATATTCTCTTATTTTTCTTCTTGACTGTTTTAGTCAAAATACTTCTTTGACAAAAATGTTGCGGCTGATTTGATTTCAAAGAAAACAACAGGGTTGCCATATTGGCATTTTTTATGCCAGATTCCACAAATCTGGCATATTTGAAATTGAACTGGCATAAGATAAGGAACTGGCATATTCTGGCATATTTGGGTTTTTCCTGGCTTTTCTTATCAAGGTGTGCTCACATTTTCTTCATGGTTCCTCTGTTATAAACACGCACATTTATTAAAAGCAAAGTAGACCTACAGTTAAAATCTTTATTTCAGTTAGACTTTGTTGTGATGTCCTGGTACAGACTAAAGGAGATTCGCGCCATTTCTTATTGTTTTGTTGTCTTCCTAAACGGATCGTGACTGCTATAAACCTCTGTAATTTATGTTAATTTACTAGAATAAATGCGAGACATAAAAGGAAACCCACCACTGATACCAAGTGATTCAGGATGTTCAGAAACTACTTGAGGACATAAAATAGATAGGATTTAGACCTAATTCTATCTGTGATAGATTTTATTACTTTTACCAATGGCCACGTCACCCAAAAAATGGAAAGCATCATATGACAGCAATCGCAATAATAATAGTAATTGGGAGAAAACATACTCATGGCTCAAAAGATCTTCAGATGGATCAGAGGCAGCATATTGTAAACTGTGTCAGTGCACTGCTGCACCAAGAATTACTAGCATTTCACATCATGAAAAATAAAAAAAACACAGGATGAAAACTTTGTCAGAAAGCTAGTCACAGCTTATTACAACAATAACTCCTAGGCAAAGTAATGATAAAGTTAAAGGCAGCAGAGTTGCAACTTGCTGTAAGCACGACCTGCCATTGTGCAATACGCACAAATGATCATTTAAGTGAAATCATGAGAGCGCATGGTCAGGGAACATTGGTACATTGGAACACATACAGTTGCATAGAACTAAATGTTTATGCGTAATAAAAAATATTATATCGCCGAGAGGAAGCTCTCAATCAAATTACATGTAGACTTCCCACCGAGAATATATTTCAAAATCTGGTCAAAATTGAGCCCTTTGGCAGTTTTAAATCAAATATCAAGGACACAGTTTTCAGAGCTACCATTTTTACACCTGGCAGAAAACAACATCAGTATTATAGAAGAACAGTACAGAAAACTGATTGTTGTCAACTGGAAAGAAAAAAAACTACATTAAAAAAGGATGGACTACCTACACACATGGACGATTTCTGGATAGGCGTACTTCGACACCTGGCATTTAAATAGTTGGCCACTTTTGCCCTTACTTGCTTAATAATGCCCGTTAGCAATTCTGTAGTTGAGAACTAAATCACAAGCAAGTAACAAAATACAACTGGATTTTCTTGATGCAGTTGTCAGAATTTGAGCAGAACTATTGATATCAAAGAAATGTTGCACAGACTTCATTCCATCTGAAAAAATGCTTAAAGATTTTACATTCGAAAAGGTTTATGCTGCATCTTCCACTGGTTCCAGCAAGGATGACAGTGAAGAATTCAATCTAGAGCTTTTGATGTGAGGTCAGTACAATGTTACACTTTATTTGGCAATTTTCTGGCATATTTTGGGTGATAGTTTGGCATAAAATGAAGTTTTTTATCTGGCAACCCTGGCAAAACAACATCCGGTTTTCTCCAAGATGGACGTGCTAAAGGCAGAGATTGAGAGAAAGAAACGTCAGTTACAGGAGAATAATTTGATTAACGTACGTTTTAATTTTATAATTATATAAAATACAAGTTGCAGCCTGTTTGATCTTCTTGGGTTAATAATATAATGGCGCCGTTTAATCATTTCTATACTGAGTGATAATAAATTTGAATTCGTACGTTTAAAGTAAAAAAAGTAAGTTTACTATACAATAACAATTTTAGGTACTTTAGTCAAATTTTTAAAATGCCCTCAACACCAATAAAACCAGCACAGTTAGATAGCTGTAAACAATCTCTTTCCAACGGTACCTCATTTAGGCTTGTATGTCATTTCTGAGCTGAGATATGTAGGTTTTTGTGGAAATTAGATGTAAAAAAAACAGCTGCTAAAACTTGTCTGAAAAACAAGAAGTTTTCTCTGCGCAACCAAACTGCGCAACTTTCGTTTTTGCTTTGTTTTCATTGGACAAGATGGCAGACAATTTTTCTCAGACACAACCACATATTAGCGATTGCCTGAAAAATTGTCACTGTACATCTAAACAGCCACAGGACAAGAAAGAAATTGTATACACAAATGTAAAATTGGACGGAGAATTCAATTATAACTAGCATTACCATGTCTGGCAACATTTAAAGCCTAAAGCCAACTTTGAACACTTATCGCTATTTTCACTCAAACTGATGTAACAGAAAAACAGAGGACGTCCGGCTGTCGTAGACATGCGCTGTTAATCAGGTTGGTTCCCGCCGTTTTCAGCCATTTATAGCTGGTGAAAATCACACCAATTGCAAAATTTCATGAGAGATTAGGACCCCAGCCGACATTTCCCAAACAAGTTTCAAACGGTTTCCATGGTAACAGAAATTGCCAAAAAGACCTCAAATTGCCGAAACTGTAGTCGCTAATAACATAACAATAAAAAGTATTTTATTTTTAAATGTATAATTTAAAATAATTTAAAACAAATAATAATAAATGATGAAGTTAAAAATGTCACAGACTTTTAATATCTTGGCTCCATAATCAGCAGCAGTGTAGACTAAGTCTAACTTTAATAGACGTTCAAAATACGATATCAACATTTTAAAAAGCATTGCATCTGTCCTGTTGTTGTAGCAACATGACATACAATGCAAACCTGAGAGTCGTGAACTGAGATAGTATCTTTGATGGTCTTGCAGTCGTTAAAGTCAGTAAATAAAATAGAGATGGTAACTCTATAGAAAGACTCTAAATGGAATCAGTCGAGAAAGAAGATTATTATGGCCTGGAGAAAATGAGGCACCTGGGTGTAACCAGAGGGTCAGGCCGGCTGACTACCCTCAGAGAAAAGGCAAGACGGACTTGTAGCCAGCTTGTGACCGGTACCAGCAGTATTGGAACTCTGCACTGGCTGCTGAAGATGAGGATGGAGCAAGCATGGGAATGCCCTGAGTGCTGTGATTTCAATTCTTGATTCAACTCAACTCAAAGATTCTTAGAACTCCATAGACCAAGAAGAAAAGAAACATTATGTTGACAATCTTATACAAAAGATCTGAACGTCACAAAAGCTTGGCTTATAGATAAAGCGGTAAACGATATACACTTTTGGGCTCTACTCCGAATAATGGTCCCAAATTATCTACGCAGTAAGTAAACCCTAACAGAGCCTCATTACATCCAGCCCTACAAACAATTAAAAGTTCTAGCTCGGAAAAAATCAGGAACGAAAAGTATGAGGAAAAGGGCGAAGTCTACTACTTACCGACAGTTAAATCCTTTATATGTGAAAATTGCGGCACAGAAGTTGCAAACAGTGCGCGAATATCTATTCTCTCTGGCTGTCCACCATTCTAACTCAACCAAATAAGATGGGAACAGGACGCGGCTTGTCGCGATTCTCGTTCCGGGCAATACATAATCAGTAATGCGTGTTTTAATGTACGCGCATGTTGCCTCGGGACAACTTCAAACCAGCATCTGCCACTATGACGCTTCACTATCCCAATCACCCCTTGAACGTGGCGAATGCGACCATGCTGCCAGTTACGACGGAAGAAATAGCTCATGACTTTTTTCCGGCGACTATAGTGCCACCTTCGAGTGTATCCCCCGCGCCGCTACGCGCGGCGCGGAAGGGGCTAAACTAGATGGCTAGGACTCACGAGCAAATACAGTGGAGGAAGCTGTAGGAGACGTGGTAGCTGCTGCTCGTGAGTCTCAGCCATCTAGTTTAGTCCCTTCGGATACTCTCGGAGGTGGCACTATAGTCGGCAAAAAAGTGGTCTGCAACTTACATATAACTGAGGCCGTGCCGTAGGATAGCGCTTTTGGGAGTATTCTTGCGTGTCGCTATTTTTTTGTCCGTAGTTAATCCTAGTTTTGCCGCCGTTTAATCATCATAAAAAATCTGTTTCGTTTCACGAAAATGTAGTGCGTAATTAATCCTACTTTTGACGGGTTGATTCGCCGCAAAAAATATGCGAATTTTGGATATCAGTGAGGCTCTGTTAGGGTTCACTTTTTGTGTAGATAATTTGGGACCGTTATTTGGAGTAGAGCCCACTTTTGGAAACTGAAATGCTATGGCCACATCAAGCACGATGGAGGATTAGCAGAGGTCATGGGACTAGGTAAAAGGGCTGTGAGCCCATTGTGACATATAACAGCACCAAAGGATGATGATGACCTTGGAGCTGTGATGCACAATTGTATTTTTATGTGCAGTGCTTGTCATCCAGTTTACAGCCAGTGAAGTGAAGTAGAAAAAGAAACATGGGCCGTTCCTACAACTAAATGAGTATAGACTATGTCAACTAATACAGTACAAACAACACTATATGGACTAGGCTGATGGATATGTATATCTCTTATGCTAACATAGTTGCCTGATCTTGAAGTGAAGCATGTCTGTGCCATCTTCGAGTTTAGAATAGAAGACATCTTCTTGATCTTTGTGTTCACCGGTGGTCACAGAAAGTTCTAGTTGTTCATCCACTTCTGTACTTTAGTCTTGTTCCAGAGCAGATCTGACTTATTTGTTTGCAGACTGTTGGTTCCCCACCTCTCAGGCAGATGCACTTTGATTTCGAAAGGAACACTCCTAGCTGATTGAATTGACTCTGACATGCTTGTTTGGGGAGCAATGTATCGATTATTTTTTTCTTACAGTGCTGTCCTGGAACTGACACAGGGATGATAAAGTTAGTTGCGTGTCCTTTACAGGACGTTGCAGAACCATCCCCAGCCTTTGTGGGGGCTATTGTGGTTTTTCTAGGCAAATTTCTGCTCAATAGTTTGCCGTTGTTGCTTTCTGTATGGTCCGCTGTCAAAACCACTGTCGAATCCAACACAAGGGGAATCTGCTGCCAAATCACCTGTGGCTGTGATAGAACTCTGCACCTTGAGATTACCAAACGCATTCGCAATGCCTAAGCCACTGATGCTGACCATGAAAAAGATAGGAGGCATTATAACCAACTTCTTAAAGGAACAGTCAGTAAAGTTACTTGGAATAGCTGCTGCATTGATAGGAATGCCCAGTATGCATTAACCTTGATTGTGACAGCATGACTAACAAGTACAAAATTGTAGCAACATGTCTTAGAAGAGCTGCCGGAGTAACAATTAGTTTAGTAGAAATATGATTAAAAATGGAGTTAGAAGTCGAGAGGATTGACTTCATTGCACTGGGTTTTATCCCATATGGCTTGGTCTCTCTCCACAAAGCGGGTAGCCACCTGCAGAGAGCATTGCACAAAACATGAACTCAGTAGACGATCCCCAGGGATCTCCGTAGAAATTGCACTTGTGAACTGAAGGGCACAGCGAACCCATGACCCTCAGAGTGTGAGGCAAACAACTTGAAAATTCTCCACAGAGACCCAATGAAAGCATTAGATCAGTGGTCGACCCTAGGAGAGGGAGGGGATCGAGCAATTTTTAAATTGAGTGCATTTGTGATAATCCATTATATTGTTTTAAAAAAAAATTAATTATACATTTTAAAAATAAAATATTTTTGTTAAAACTATTTATGAAACAAAAATCCAAGGACATTTTTCATTTTCCTAAGTATTTGGTAAATCTACAGTTAAAAATCTAATTATTAAAACACAGGCATGTTAAAAATTGAGAATATATTCTGACCAAATCGTATCTCCATACTGTCTGTTTCCTTGTTGCTGAACTTGTTGTCCTCCTCTTTTTAATTAATAACATTTTGTTATGTTGGATTAAAGTCGGCAGGTTTCGACTTCATTCCACCGTGTTTTATCCCATATGGCTCGGTCTCTCTCCACAGAATGGGTAGCCGCATGCACAGAGCATGAACTTTGCAATTCCGGTGACGTTCTTCTTAAAAATTGCCCTTGTGAAAAGAACGGTGCAGCCGTGAATTAAACCACAGACCTTCAGAGGCAAATGGCTTGACCACTTGGCCATGAAGACCCCCGTTATGTTGGAGGAGGGAGCTAGTGTAGGAGTCTTGCCATATACTCTATGGGGGCGTGGAGGTCTTGCCATATACTCATTGGGGGGGTGGGGGTCTTGCCATATACTCATTGGGGGGGTCTTGCGGTATTCTCAATGGAGCTCAGAGGTCTTGTTGTATACTCAGAGTGGGGGGGGGGGGGCTGAAAAGGGTTGGAGACCATTGCATTAGATGAAGGTAAGGACTTTAATCAGCCATACATTAATTAAAGAGCAACAGACGAAATGGTTTGGTCATCTAATGAGAATGTCCTCATGTTAGCTGCCACAGAGAGCCATGCCGAAAAAATAATTCCCCATGTGGGTTCTGGAGCCCTGTTTTGGAAAAACACGAGAATAGACCCACATTTGGCAAGGATGCTACAAAAGGCGACTAATTAGGAGTTTGCTAAAAATCTGATGGGAGTGTGCTGAAAGGCACAGATATTGCAACCTAGTTGTAAATCACAACATGTCAACTTACCTTTTAACTATGAATGAAGAAAAAGAAGAAGAAATAATTGGCATGGAGCAAGGGAAGACCACATGAGAATGGTGGACAGTGGCATCAAGAACTGCCAATGAAAACAACACTGCATCTTAGAGCATAGAGAAGATACTGACATCCTCCCCCCTCCCCGCACACACACACACACACACACACTATGTCGAGATGACTGATGTGATATTGTCTCCTCTGTGTCTTAGCTGGTTCCTAGGGGTTTGTTCTTATTGAAGACATGACTGACACTCTAAGTAGACACAGGTGGGACGAGAAGACATTATATCAATAAACTTACTTTATTACAATTTCACATACCATTTTGTCCAGTCAGTGTCCACTACAAACTAGCAAGTCCTGCATTATAATATGTCATTGTTCAGACATCAACTTGGAGTATTCTCTCATTCGCACTCATTACATCTCAGTCCTTCTTCCTCACATTCAGAATACACGCCATGGTTGCTCCGGCAGTTCTAAGCATGATGGTTCAACTTCTTGAGCAATCGGAAACTGGTTGGATGCCACTTCGGATCAGATCGTCGTCAGGCCGTCATCTTGTTGTCTTCTCTCAGAACAGAACTCATCATGTCGCCAAATACACTTTTACATTCCCGCTGAGTCTCAGATATACCCTTTCGCTCTGGCTGGCAAACACATACTGTCTGATTAGACCTTTTTCTAATCCTATAAGCTTGTGCTGGGTTCCCTATAGAGTACCTTGTGTTTTTACGAGTATTTGTGTTATCCCATTTTTCTGTCGTATCTCGGGGTTTCCCCCTCACATTATTCCCCAGGGAATCCCCGTGTGAAAATAAGAACATTACAACTGGTAGAAAAGAAGGAGAAGAAGAAAATACATTTAATGGTTACTTTGTTTGTCTTAGGACCCCAAACGAAAATATTTCAAGAGAGCAGATCTCGAAGCCAAACAGGCGCAGGAATATTGGAAGAAACATAGTAACACAGCACGATCTGAAAACTCTTCACAGGTAGGAAGGACATTAGTTTTTATCTCTTTGGGTCATCTTGTTTTCTTCTGTTCATCTTATGTCAGTTATTTTTTTTCCCTGTGAATATTTGAAGATGAATGGGAAAGAAGGAAATCAAAGTTACAGACTATGGTGCTAGACCTATATTTGATCGACCAGTCGGCACTGTGGGTGATGTGGTCAACACTGCGCTGGCCGCCTTCATTTCCCAGGACTTTACCCGCTACCCATTTCAGGCTGGGTCAACCTGGAAGTCAATGTCATTTTTAAAAGAAAGTCATGCTCTGTTCAGATTTGAACCTACAACCTTTGGATCTGCATGCAAGCATCCAGCCGCTCCACCTCGGTGGGACCAATTGACTGGAGTGTGAGGACAGAAATGCGCAGAGGAGAAGTTTCACAAGGCATGCTGTAAACTCAAAGGAAACTCTAATCAAATGGGTCTAAATGATTCCAGAAAATCTCTTACCAGATTGCCCAGATTTTGTTCAGTAAATCTGGTTCACGGGAGCTAACTTTCCAGAAAAGCAATGGGGGTACTGTATTATCCCCTTGTGGGTTCAAGAGCCCGATAACAGTAAAAACAAGAATAGAGCCACTGCCTCCTCAGCAAGCATTTCTGAGAGTCTACTTCTTCTTCACGTTAAACCACCTTTACACTCTGGCGTAGGTTCTGGTTGTTTTTCCACTTCTGAAGTTCAGTACTGCTCCAGAACCTGAGTGTGCGTGTGCATCAGTTTTACAGTCCTGATTCACATGAATGCAGACTATTGGTTCCTTGTCTCTCAGGCAGATGCACTCTGACTTCAAAAGAAGCTCCCCAATTAGTCATGCTTTTGGGTAGGCAGTGGTGTTCTTTTTCCTCACAATCGAGGCCCCAGAACCCACACGGGGAGAGAGTTTACTAACTTTAGGCTTTCATTTGAAATTGGAGTGCATCTGCCCTAGATTCAGGTAACTAGTATCTGCGTGAGAGACAAGTAACCAACAGCTGCCAGATCTGTAAAACGGATGTGCAGGTTCTGGAACAAAAGCGATGGACAAACAACCAGAACTTTTCGTCCGAGTTTACAGCCGGTTAACGCGAAGAAGACAAGAAGTTTAAAATAAAGTATTATACATTTTGTGTGAGATAAGTAGATAATATACCTTTTAGAGAATCAAATAGCTCACATTTTATGAGAGATTGTCTTTTGCGTGTCCCATTCCTACTGGGTTGTCTGTTCTTAGCACCCAGAGCTATTCTTATGAGGGTGCAAGTTCTTTGAGAGTACCTGAAGTATACCTTGAGAACTCTCAAGATGTGCTGGAGTTGTCTTTCCTTGACATTTTAAAGTACTTGGAACTTACAGAAAGTGTGATAGTTTGTTTTGTCTAATAAAGATGAGTGAATTTGTTTATATTTTGTGAAAAGCTTTAAAAATAAAAATATTGATTTTGTTGTTGTTGTAGGCAGATGAAGGTCATGAATCGGCAACATCAGGCGAGGGTAAGACTTCAGACAGGTTGACTCAGTTGCCAAGGAAAGAGGTAAGTTTTTGTTTTTTTTAAATTTATCTTTTTTAAGTCACAAACAGTGCACCGTGTGTGACTGGATATTACTTATGGTTACCAGTGGGCATGTTATGTTTATATGTCTTACATTTAGTTAGAGCATGCACTTCTGTCTCCTACAGTTTGCTGCATATTTGGTCCCTGTGAATGTTGTATACTTATGGTTTAGTTGCCATTGTAATTGCCCCAACCGGATATCGACTGTATTATTTTGGGAGCAGAGAGTCCACATCGGTGCTATGAATGCAAGAATCGGGAGTAAAGATCATTGCAGCCAAGTACGAGAGGCACACAGGACATAAGAGTCGTCTTTATCAAGCAGTATAAGAATAGCACTTTTAACCGTAGGACTCTGAAGGGGAAGTCTGAGCTCCTATGGATGTGTCCAGAGTGCCGTAAAGATAACTCACTTTATAACTGTCTCTCCTACAAGCCCATGCTGTATGGCATTAATAATCATGTAAGGCCACAGCCTAACTCTACTTCATTTAGTACTGTCAGTTTCTGATTTAAGAAAAAATTTCATGCCATGATTCAAAACTCCAAAATCTTATCTCCTTATTTTTAATATATCAATTTCCCTGTGTAGGTTCTGGGGTCCCATTGTGAGAGGGGGGGGGGGAACAAGAATAGACTTGCTGCCTCCCCAAGCATGTCGTAGAAGTCGACTTATTGGGGACATCCTTCGAAGTCGGAGCACCTGAGAGGCAAGAAACCAAAAGTTTGCTTACAAATAAGGCAACGGATGTGCATGAGTGCATGCACCACTCAGATTATGGAACAAGACCAAAGTCGGGAGGTGACAAACGCCCGGAACTTTCCGCTGAGTTTACAGCCAGTGAGCTTGAAGAAGAAGAGTAATATAACAATTAACATTTATTTTAATTTTGTCAGAATCTCTGGCTTAGGCATTGCAAACGCACTTTGTTATTTCAAGCTACCCGGGTCAATTCCAGCTGTAGGCGATTCGGTAGCAGACCACCTTGCTTTGATTTTGACAGGGCTATTTGGAGCCCCGACCATTCAGTAGGAGCCCTGACAGTTCAGTAGCACTAGCAAACTAGGGAATGTAAAATTGCCTAGTAAAACCAAAATAGCCAATAGATGCTAAGGTGGGTTCTGCAGTAAAGGACTTTAAAAAGTTTGCTATAACCTAGATATGACTGTCCTGTACGTTTAGTCTGCTTCTGCACATTCTCTCTCAAAATTGAGTCTGTTTGTATTCCTTTAAAACAGTGGCTCTCTACCTTCCTGATGCCGCGATCATTTAATCCAATTCCTTCGTTTTGTCCCCCCCCCCCCCCCCCCCCCCCCCCCCCCCCCCCCCCCCCAACAGTTATTTTCTTTCAAAACTTTAACGAATATGTGTTTTCCAATGGTCTTTGGCGACCTCTGTGAAAGGGTCATTCGACCTAAAAAAAATGGCCTCGATCGGCAGGTAAGAACCGCTGCCTCAAAATGTAAACTGTTTTTACGCTCCACTGTTTCATCACCTGTGACTCGGTACTTGTGATTTCGGTAAGCATTTTTGTCAGGTTTTCTTTCTGTTGCCTTTGGCAGCTCCCCAGCCTAGCTCAAGGCATCAGGTTTCTGTCTCATTTTGTTTGGTCTCTATCATTTGAGTTATCCAACATGGAAGATCCGTCAGTGGCATAATTCTGAGCTCATTGAAACAAACAGCAAGATGGAGACACATCAGAACGACTCTGGCAAAATTACCCACAACTGTTTTTCATTTCAAATTTCAGTATTATCGTTCTTTATTTGACTTTTAAGTGGTCAGGTTTTCAAATGTCAGATTTAATTACCAAAGCGATGTCCAAACATAGGGACATGATTTGCAATGACCAAATGAGCATTAAGCACCTTGTATGTGACAGACTTTTAATTATCAAAAAAGGTGACCACATTTTTTGATGACCCAAAAAAAAAAAAGATACATTTTTCTATCACAGCTTGTAAATGTCCAGAATTCTGTCATACACAGGTGATAAGAAGACTTCGAGAACGGGGGGAACCTATCAAACTCTTTGGAGAAGATGACATTGATGCCTACAGGCGGCTGAAGAAGCTGGAGACAACAGAGCCGGATGTACAGGTTAGTGTCGAGAAAAATGAGGGAGTGAGGGATTTATTGAAGGGATCTGTAGGTTGTCTGTCTTTTATAATTAGGAGGTAAAGATCAAGGGGTGACATGTCACTGACCTACGTGAAGGTACTGTTGACTCGATGGAAACTTTAGTGCATTTAGCTTTAAAGTTTTAGTAGCACTGAGTGTAGCTTCATTAGAGTTGCATCACCTGGGCTCAGTCTTTACCTTGAATGTATAAATGAATCAGTAATTGAATCGCTGCACTCGGAACATTCCCACACATTCTCCGTCTCCTTCCTCTGTAGCAAACTAAGAATGGACATGCTAATAGTACCATTTGCAACCTGATTAAAAGTCCGTCTATGTGTCTTGCTTAGTTTTGAAATCATCCTAAACAAGCTGGATGAAAGTTGTGAGAGCCCTCTATGAGCCAGTGAACAGAGCTGAAGCACAAATAGATCATTACGGTCTGAGGAGTATGGCGCTGCAAGGAGATGCCAGTGGATCTGGCTGATGCTCAAGGCAAAGGCAAGACAGATATGATTAGACAGTTACTGGTGCCATCGGAATTGGTACTCTTTGTTTGCTGTTGAATATGGGGATGGAGCGCTTATGCGAGTGTCCCGAGTGCTATGATGTTGATTCTTAATTCAAAATTCAGCATCTTCAAGAACCTCTGTTCACCTCCCGTTGAATTAGTCTTTCAATGTATGGATTCTCTGTCAGTTCTGTTGCACTGTCCATTTGATCGCAATGAGCCTCCACTTTTGTCTGTATCTGTCTGGTCATAAATAATAGAAACAGGTTCCCCAGTATGGGCCTGGCCAACGTAGTTAGGATCTATGTTTATTTTGAGGTTGGAGGTTCTTAAGAAGCAAGGAGCAAGTGTGTATACAGTTGACCTGGAGCTGTAAGGTGTGAAACAAGACAAAGTCCACAGACAGATAACTGTGACTTTCTGCTGGAAATCACAGCCAGCGATTCCAGAAGAAGAAGAAAGTATCTCTTATTTCCTTGCAGTCTACTTGCTTCTTTTTATTTCACATATTTGTACAATATTGTAATAATGAAGTTAAACAGCATGAAGAACTTATGGCACAGCACTTGCATGCAAGTGGAGATAAACATTTTGAGATCATGTATCTTATCATTGAGGAGAATTGGCTCACAGACAATATCCTGTCCTGAAAGCTGAGGTGTTTTGGTCATGTTAAACATCATGGTTGCCTGAAGAGAGTGATAATGGAAGCAAGGCAGAGGCAGACCTCAGCAAATATGAAAACAGGACATTGAAAATGCTTTAGCCATAAAAGCATGTATGGCTTGAGAATAGGCTAGAGAGAGAGGGGTGTTCTATAAAGGACCTGCTCAATTGTTGTTTGTTGATGAAGTCTTGCAACCACAACATTGTTCATTGTTTGAAATTTGGTAAAACTGACCTGTACTTTGTGTTTTCCATTTGTTTACATTTTCATAGCTGAGCTGCAGTTAAACCCTTTCCATTTATGTAATAATAATAGATTTAATAGCCCGGCTTTGCCTAGGATAGTTAAAGTGGAATTTCCCATCCCCTTCTTCACCTTCACAGCTCATTAAATATCAAGGAAGATAACAGAGAAATAAAAAAAACTTTACAATTCAATGTAATGAATGTAGAAGAAAAGAAATATTCAAAGGATTTTAACTCCAGCAAAAGTTTACTTTCACTGATTGTTGTGATAAATAAAAGAAATGCACATAAACCTGGTCACCAATGTGACTGTTAAATTAAACATTGTAGCTATAATAATGGCAGCTGAAAATCTAACCCATGTAGTGGTCAGAGTTTGGGAGTTAACAGTTGATTTAAAATGAACACAAAATACAGGAAGGTGTTTGTGCTTTATAGTATAGATTTTAGGGTGCTTCTATTACCATAAAATTTAATACCTAGCTGGCTCTGCCATACTTGCAGGCTCAAACTGAAATTGGTAATGCCCTTAGTGAAAGAGGATGACTGGAGGATTGTGGGTGTGTCGTGTTCACATCGCGGTTAAAAATTTTGATAATTTTGAGTAAATATTGGCACAGCAGGCATGAGAGACACCTCAGACCTATGAGATGTCCTGTCGACCAGGAGTCGCACCATTAACCACAGGATGCTGACATCTATGCCGAGGGAGAATCTCATCACCCGAGTAAATGTCCAGAATGCTGTAAGGATAACCCATGTCCAGAATGCTGAAAGGATAACCCGTGTCCAGAATGCTGTCAGGATAACCCATGTCCAGAATGCTGGAAGGATAACCCATGTCCAGAATGCTGTAAGGATAACCCATGTCCAGAATGCTGGAAGGATAACCCATGTCCAGAATGCTGAAAGGATAACCCATGTCCATAATGCTGGAAGGATAACCCATGTCCAGAATGCTGTAAAGATAACCCATATGTACAGGGTCATCGAGAATGATTGACAGTGTTTTAAACTGTTGGTATAAGAAAAGCATTCTTATTCTTCTTTGCATTCACTGGCTGTGAATTCCAGTGGAAAGTCCTAGTTGTTCTTCCATTTGGACTTAAGGCTCTAAAAGAGAAGTATTAATGGATATACTTGTGTGGTGTCTTAAAATGTTCAAAAAAGGGTTGCAGTTTTAGACTTATTTTAGTACAATTCAGTGTGGGCGCAGTTTGATGGTATTCAGTCTCCCACCATGTGTTTTTAATCAAGTCCAGAGTTACAGTGGCATCTGCTGCAGCAAACCTGTCTTTACGGGGTGGATGTTCATTATTTTATCAACCCTGTTTTAAGCCTCACGATCACACAAGGTCACACGAAACTTTAAAAATTTTTAAATATTGAAGATGCCACAGGTATTCATGCATTAATTACTTCTTTGGTACTAGCAGTTCAAAATCCTGGCAATCATTCTCTATGACCCTATTATGCTATCTTATCACAATCAATGTCACTGCGCATTTTGCATTCTCATGCATGCTCAGTCCTGCAATGCAGCAGCCGCTCAATGGTACTTCTGCTAATTCTTGATGATCCTGTATATGTACATATTTCTGTGTGTGTATAATAATATATGTATTAAATAACATAATGCTGAATATTGATCAATGCTGAGCTGAGAATGCCTAACCATTTACCACTGTATGCTGATAAACAGGGGGAAGGATTTGAAAATGACTTTCAAGCTGCCATGGAGAAGGTGGACCAGGACTATCTCAATGAGATCATCAAGTCAACAGGTGGGGATGAGGCTAAACAGTCCATCGATGTCTCTGTCAAAGATGATGGCACCACGCTGGAAGATCTGGCTGTAAGTCTGACACAGCCATGTCTGAATGTCTACTACCTGTTCTTTCATCATCATTGTATATGTATTGGTGAAGGCTTTCTAGTACGTCCAATATAAGCAAGACTTTAAATGGCTGCCTCTTATGTCATGGTTGTTAGTAGTCTGTGGGTTTTGTTCCTTTTTCCCTTAACTGGGGCCCCCAAAACCCATACGGTGGATGTAATAAGTTAGAATTCCTTTTTTTTTAAAACAGTGAACTAGGCTTTTAGCTTAACATGGGTCTCACAGTTCATCTTTCCTGGCATAAACAACTTTCTTACTCCGGACAAAGAGTCATATTTCTAGGGCACATTTTCTCCTCGTTATGCTTGCTTATTTCTCCTTCGCTGTCCAGTTATTCCTCTACACCATTTTCTCTTATTGAAGCTAACCATGTCCTTACAGCAACCATCTGGTGGTGAGTGTTCTTAAAAAAAAAAATACCCTGTATACCCTAAGACAGAGCTATTCAACTGAGTTTACTCAGGGGCCAAAATGTTGGAAAACGTTGATAGTCGCTGGCCAGAAGCCAAAGTCCTAGCATAGAAAGTACATTAATACAATACAACTGGCAATGATGTGCGGGCCACTTGCTAGGCCTTCGCAGGCCAGATTTGGCCCGCGGGCCGCCAGTTGAATAGCCCTGCCCTAAGACATGCAATAGATCCCTACATAACAATGAAATTATTTGGAGAGAAAAAAATCTTTATTTTGGTTTTGTTGTTGTTGTTGCTGAGTCGCCATGTAAGTTGTTGTTATTTTTTTTATACAGCGCATGCGACAAGAACTTGGACAAGGAGATAAAGACAAAAATCATGAGGTCGTGCTGCGCTATTTTAAAGTAAGTGTCTGCCAGATTGTACTGCATTTTCATAAAGTGTCTGCTAGATTGTACTGCATTTTCATAAGTGTCTGCCAGATTGTAATGCATTGATTGTACTGCATTTTCATAAAGTGTCTGCCAGATTGTACTGCATTTTCATAAAGTGTATGCCAGATTGTACTGCATTTTCATAAAGTGTCTGCCAGATTGTACTGCATTTTCATAAAGTATCTGCCAGAGTTTACTGCAGTTTAAAAAAAAAACATCACCATATTGTACTGCATTTGTATAAAATGTCACCATAGTGTACGGCATTATCAATTTATATCTGCCAGATTGTGGTACACAGTCTTAAAGAATCAGTAACCCTTTTGCCTTGTAAACACTTTAACAGAAATTTGTTCAGAGAAAATCATCCTTATAACTCACTGAAATTCTGTCCCAAGAAACTAAAGAAAGGGAAGAAGATGTGGAAGACATTTGAAGTTTTGGGCAGTTTTCATAAACATCCAGAAAAGTTGGGGAGAGGGGGGGATTAAGCCCTAGACCACCGAGCAGACTGGCAAGTGTGAAATCCACAGCTACATCAGGGCCGGCAGATCAACAGAATAACTAATCATAATTTTCATTGTTATTTCTATGCGGCAGAACATTTTTAAATAAAGAAATTAATCACTAAATGCAAATCCGTGTGTGGGTTTTGAGGCCCCATTGTAGGTAAAACAAGTAGAGGCCCACTGCCAACAAGCATGTCGCTAGAGTCGACTAATTGGGAGCTTCCTCGAAAGTCACAGTAGATCTACCTGAAAGGCAAGGAACCAACAGTCTGCATGCAAATGAGTCGGACATGTGAAACAGAAGTGCATGCAATATTTAGTTTCTGAAACAGGTCTATAGTCCAGAAGTGGATGAATAACCAGAACTTTCCGCCAGAGTTTACAGCTGGTGAACGTGAAGAAGAAGAAGAAGAAGAAGACTAAATGCAAACAGAGCAAAATTTTTTATTACTTTCCTTCTCCATTGATCATTATTAATGTGGTTATGTTAACTTAACCATAGGAAGCATCATTTGATATTGTTATGATGTAACAGTGATGTCAGTTAACTCATTTGAGATTGGTATGATGTAACAGTGATGTCAGTTACATCATTTGTGATTGGTATGATGTAACAGTGGCCTCACAGTTTGTGATGGATTTTTTAAACCCCTACTAACATCTTAAAATTGGTTGGGGTGTATTTAGTCATATCAACCATGCCTGCAGACTGCAGTTACAGCCAGCGCATAAGCTGTTGGCCTACTGTCCTAAGACTTCATGTCATCAAAAACCTGTAAATGTTGGGGAAATGGCTTTCTCGGGGTGGGCAGGTTATGATTGTAGTGTGGATTCTTGATATGTTTGTGTGTGGTTCACCCCTAAACCCTTTTTTTTAAGAAAAAATACTTTTTGATTAATTTTATGATTCGTGACTATGGGATATCAAAAGCAGTAGCCCGGAAAAGTTTGGAATCATTCATTGATACTTGTGTGTTTCTCTGTAGAATGTTTTTTTCTGCAAATATTTTGCCTCTTTTGTTGCCAGTTTGTCTTAAAGAAATGGGGAGAGAAGCTAAACCAGCGATCAGAGGAAGAAAAGCGGACAATTAAAGGGAAAATGGCCAGTGCAACACACTCACAAACTGTCGCATATCTCAAGCCATTGTTCCGGAAATTGAAAAATAAAGTAAGAGTTTGGTTTCTTTAATAAGTGATAATTATCTTCTTCTCTTGCAATGTTGTTCTTCCTCTCTTCTATTTCTTAGCTTCCATCTGCTGTAAACTCTGGCAGAAAGTTCTGGCTGTTGGTCCATCCTTAGGGTTTTGCTCTTGATCCTGAACTTTGATTTTGCATTCACGTTCTGGTTTTACATATCTGGTTTATTTGTATGCAGACTGTTGGTTCCTCACCTCTCAGGCAGATGTACTCTGACTTTGAAGGAAACACCCCTGATTGGTCGCCTCCTACGACTGCTTATTAGAGAGCTGTGGGTCTATTCTTTATTCTCCAAAATGGAGCCCTGAAACCTACTCGTGGGACGGTGTTGTTCTAGTGGTGTCTGTGTTTTGATGTGTTTATGTGTAGGCTCCAGTGCCCCATTTTTTGGAGGGGGGGGGGGGGGGGGGTAAATTGACACGCTGCATCTCTAACAAACTTGTAATAAATTATGGCTGAATGGGAGTTTGCTGAAATCAAATGTGCTGGGCCAAAAGACAGGGTTATCACAGCCTTGCTGTAAACAACAATACAATATGCTAACCACCCTTTCAAAGATGAACACAGAAATTGCATATTTAAAAGTTTTGTTTTTTTATTAAGACTCTTAAATAGCTTTCTGTTGGTACCCTAGTAACTGAGGTGCAAAAAGCTTGTCTTTTAGCTTTTAACCAAAACCAGTGATGAGTTAACTCTTTCTGTGCCAGAGGACTTGGCTGCAAATCCTCAAGTGGGACACAACTAATGAATTCTAGACTAAGGCTAAACAGCAAAGTGGCCACTTTCGTAGCCAGTTTCCGGAGTACGGTATGACCTTATGTAAAATGTAAACAACATATTATTTGTTGGCTATGACTCACAAGGATAATCCTATAACAAACTATGTTCTTTTTGGAACTAAAGAGTTAAAGAAGATTGAGATTATCATACAACCAACAGGCGTGTTTGAAACTGGCAGGTGCATTTGTTTACATGTGGTCAGTTTTGTATGATGTTCGTCCATCACAATGTCTGTCTGTAAAGGGCCTGTAAATGAGTCTTTCTAGCCTGTCTTAGCTGTTCAGCTGCCCTTTTTTCTAGATGCCTTACAAGTCTACAGATATATGTTCATTTTTATAATACAAAGGAACGTGTGGTTAGTCTTAAGATTTACATAGGAAAAACACATGAGTAGAACTAATGATCTGTGTATTTCTTCTTCCTCTTGGTATTCACCAGCTGTAAACTCAGGCAGAAAGTTTTGGTTGTTCATCCACTTCTGGACTTTGGTCTTGTTCCAGGACTTGAACTTTGCGTGCACGTCTGTGTTAAGATTTTTTGTGTGCTCGTAGGCAAACTGTTGGTTCCTTGCCGCTTATGCAGATGCACTCCAACTTTGGAGGGGAAATCCCTAATCACTTGCTTTTTACAATGTCCTTCTTTTTCTCCTTTTTCTTTTTTTTTTCACCAGCTGTTAACTCCGGTGAAAAGTAGTGGTTGTTCTTTAGTTTGGACTTTTGTTTTGTGCTAGAGCCTGAGTTGTGCCTGTACATCTGTTTTACTTTTTTTTCTTGTTGGGGAAACAAGAATAGACCCACTGCCTCCCCAACAAGCATGTCGTAGAAGTCGACTAGTTTGAAGCTTCCTTTGAAATCAGAGTGCATCTGTCTGAGCAGTAAGGAACAATCAACTGCACACAAATAAGCCAGTAAAATGGATGCGCATGCAAAACTCAGGCCCTGGGACAAAGCCAAAGTCTAAATGGATGAACAACCAGGACTTTCCGCCAGAGCTTACAGCTGGTGAACAAAGAAGGCGAAAAAACTACAGCAATAGCAATAAAATAGTTGCTTTCTTTTTTTTTCCCCTGTATTTCTGGTGCTAGGACGTGGATGAGGGACTGTTGGGAAGCATTGTCGAGATTGTCCTGTTTATGATGGATAGAAATTACATACGGGTGAGTACAACAGTGTCATGTATGTGAGATTGTCCTGTTTATGATGGATAGAAATTACATACGGTTGAGTACAACAGTGTCATGTATGTGAGATTGTCCTGTTCATGATGGATAGAAATTACATACGGGTGAGTACAACAGTGTCATGTATGTGAGATTGTCCTGTTCATGATGGATAGAAATTATATACGGTCATGTATGCACGTCTGCCTTATCTTGAAAATGACGATAATTAATAATGTTCTAATTGGAAGAGACTTTATGGCATTATCAGATGAAACATCGATAACTATAGGTCCCTATAAGTGCCAGTAGTGCATCTGGTGTATGAGGGTAGACTAATCAACCCTCGATGGGTAATGTGGACAGCATCACACCGGCCGCCTTTATTTCCCAGGACTTTATCTGGCACCCATTTACCGCTGGATTGACCTGGGCGCCAAAGTCATATTTGAAACAATCCGGCTTCGAGCAGATTTGAAACCCATTACCTTTGAATTCGCAAGCGAGTGCCTAGCTGCTACACCACGACCGCTCCCCACATCCTAACTAGAAGATACTTTTTTTGGGGTGTCACTGAAATTGGAACTCTTTATTGGCTGCTGAAGGTGAGCACAGAATAGGTATGGGAATGTGCCAAATTATGTGGTGTTGGTTCTACAAGATCCACAGGATAAACTTAGCTTGTATGATAAAGTTGAAGCTTCAGATCCAAAATGACTCTGGTATGCTTTAGCTGTTCCAATTTCTTTTAATACCCAATCAGGGAGCTGATAAGTTGAACAGCCTTTTCCTTCTCTTATCAGGCAAAATTTTATTGTCAAGATAGCATTTAAGAGGTCAAATTTTATCCAGTTTCTTAGGTTGAATTTGATAAATTTACTCCAAATGAAAAGCATCTAGAAAAACTTCTACCATCTGAACATCAAAAACGCCATCTAAATGCAAGGGGAAAACATCTAAATTTGGATGTAAAACATCCAAAGTGGCAACACTGGTGTTTAATATGAAATGAATGTAATGAGCTTGGGGTGTGAGGAAAAATGTAGTAGGTTGTAGTGCCCTGAATTGCAGGGACATAATCACTCTGGTCCTTTCCTTACTTTTACCAGGCTAACGATGCTTATCTAGAAATGGCCATTGGAAATGCCCCCTGGCCAATCGGTGTCACCATGGTGGGCATCCATGCTCGTACCGGTCGAGAGAAGATTTCCTCCCGTTACGTGGCCCATGTGCTGAACGATGAAACACAGAGAAAGTACATTCAGGTCAGTATTCAAATTAAACTGTCCTAACCTGTTTTTTTCTTTTCTAATAAGGATTGTCATTGGTTTGGTTTTGATTAGATATTTTAATGTTAAAATTACATTAATTATGAATGCTGAATATTATGTATTTTAAGTTTTGTCTGAGGAACTAAAGAAATCTGGCCAGATATTTAAACATGTAGCACAGTTAATACCAGAAATAAATACTAGCGAGAAAAAGATATGGAAAGTAGAGACCATGACTCAGAATATATTAGATAAAGATGTGTTGAACATTAAATCCTTTAGGTTAGCTGGATCCCATTAGTTAGATTAGGCAGTTTTCAAGAGACTTACAGACTGTGTCATTGGTGTCTAGACTTGATGGCCTTAGTCTTCATGTTTAAGACACCTTAGTGACTCTGAGAATTGAAATGTGCGGTTTGAGGGCACTGAAGTCAGAAGTGCCACTAGAATTGTAGTTTAGATTGGCAGTTGCATGGGAGTATCCCACAAGGCATCACCAGTTCAGTGTCAGCAGGCCACTCGCCATTTTTTGAATCTGCAGTTCAAATCACAAACCACCTTGTGAGCTGTTGAAAGGCTTTCCAACTGAAATCTGCCGATCACAGTATTGCATAATACATTCAGCTGAGTATCAGGGCGACAAAACTGTACTTCTAGTCAACATATGAGGGAAAATGCAACAGCCACTCATATCTAGACGTAAATAACTGGTCAGAAGTTTAAAAAAGAAAAAGTCAGCATGACTACACCTTCAGGCAAATAACGAGCCACTACGCTAGGGCTATTCAACTGGCAGCCCGCTGGCCCGCGAAGGACTAGCAAGTGGCCCGCGGATCACTGCCAGCTATATTGTATTCATGATCTTTCTGTGCTGGAGCTGGGACCTCTGACCCATGACCAACCCAATTTTCAGCATTTTAGCCCCAGAGTAAACTTAGTTGAATAGCCCTTGACTACACTATTTATATGAACAGCGAAATTTTGTTATGACAACCCATGCCAGATTTTCTTCATATAACAGTTCATCATCATCAGGTGCCTTGCCGACTGGCGTGGGCAATCGTGCCTCTCCACAGTCTACGATCTCCTGCAGCATGTATCAGTTTGTGTGCAGACACACCTCCATGCCATGCAACAAGACTGTCAAGTATCTTCTCTCATTGTCTTCCTCTATTTCTCCTTCCACAGATCTTTCCAGTGGTCACAACATGTTCTGTTTTCCCTCTTCTCATAACATGGTCGAAAAATTATGACTGTCTCCTTCTGATGTCTGATAAGTTGTTTTTGGGCTCCCGCCTATTTCAAAACCTCTTGGTTGCTCTTTTTGGCTGTCCAAGGTATTCTAAGCATTCTTCTGTAAAACCACATCTCTGAGACCTCAAGAAATTGTTTGTCCTGCCTACCAATTGTCCAGGATTCACAGCCAAATGTTAAAACTGGATGTATGTAGCAAGTAAGAATTCTTTTTCTAACTCTTAATGACAAGGATGTATTATATAACAGTTACATAATTTTAACAATCAACTATTTTTTTCTTGTACAGGCAGTGAAGCGACTAATGACCCAGTGCCAGATACTCTTCCCGACAGACCCATCCCGCAGCTACAACTTTCTTCGACCAGCAAATTCATCCTAGATGGTCATCGGCACTTCAGACTATTTGTACAGAGCAGAACTGGTGGTTCAGTTAATTGGTAGTGACTGGCACTCTTAGCAGGACAGATGATGGAAAGAAGGCTATGAGAGGTCCAGCTGATCAGTGAAATTTCAGACTGTTTGGTTTCATTGCACCTCATTTATTTTGTATCCCCTCACAGTCTCTGTCAGCTAAGGAATGAGGTTTTTATTATTATGAATATTATTTGTCTACTTTTAACCCTTTTGTCCCTTAAAAATACTTACAAATTACTATTTTCAAAACTTCCTTGAAAAGAATCATATCTTTGTAATTCTGTGAAGCTCTGCCTTAAGAAACAAGAAGAAGAGCAGAAGAAATTTTCAGTCTTGGTCAGTTCTTATAAAAATCCAGGGCTGTTGAAACCTGTGATAACCAAATATTTTCACTGACACAGGAACGGAGCAAGAATGGGTGACCTGTCTGCATCGAAGTTGATAGCTTGACTACAATGAAGCTGCCAGTTGTTGCATCATTTTGGCCATAAATCATTAAAGTTGGTTTTGTCATGCTTGGTGTTAATTTTTATTTTTTAATGAAGGGAGGTGGTCACAAAATGCAAAAATCACTGATTTCATTCCCTTTGACCAGGAAATTATAGGCTTTGTTGACACAGCCACAAGAGAGCAAAGTGGCGTCGTCATAAGTTTATTATGATGTCACAGTGACAAAACAAATCAGTTTTTGTATCTTAAAAATTGTTTGTGGAAAATACAATACCTACCACCTCTGCACACTATAGAGTTGTAATCAGTACCAAAGCTTTTGTTTAGGTAAATTGGCCACTGCCCAGATGTTTTGTTGTTAAAACCCCTAAAAAGTCAGAAAACCTACTTTTTCAGAGCATCATCATCAGGTGCCTTGCCGACTGGCGTGGGCGATCATGCCTCTCCATAATCCGCGATCTCCTGCAGCATGTATCAGTTCGTGTGCCGACACACCTCCATGCCATGCAACAAAACTGTCAAGCATCTTCTCTCATTGTCTTCCTCTATCCCTCCTTCCACAGATCTTTCCAGTGGTCACAACATGTTCTATTTTCCCTCTTCTCATAACATGGCCGAAAAATGATGACTGTCTCCTTCTGATGTCAGTGATAAGTTGTCTTCGGGCTCCCGCCTCTTTTAAAACCTCTTGGTTGCTCTTTTTGGCTCTTTTTTTTTTCAGAACAACAGGGTTAAAAAAAGGCTGACTTTCATCACTTACATGTACCACTTTTTCAGATAGTGTAGGCTATGGTTGCCATTTTTAGCTGAAAGATATTTTGCCACTAACTAATGCAAGGTGTTTGTAAAGTCTCACTTCGATTTGTATGATGAATAGAAATGAAAAATGAAGTATATGACGTCATCAGCAAATGTGCTGCTGAGTCAGTCGTGAAGCAAAATGCAGTGAATAGCTGTCATCTGTTGGACTCATTCTTTGCACTCTCATAACTTAGTTACTTAAATCTCCTTGCTTGAGTCACTTAGTTACTTAAATCTCCTTGCTTGAGTCACTTAGTTACTTAAATCTCCTTGCTTGAGTCACTTAGTTACTTAAATCTCCTTGCTTGAGTATTGCAGATGCATGACTGTGAGGGAGTGGTGCCTTGCCCCCAGCGATTGTAAACCTGGAATTCATGTAAATAAACATATAGTAAAAAAAATATGTGTGAGTTATGTCTTCTGTTTTATGTATGTAAATTATACTAACCATCTAAGAACGCTTGAAAAAGGATGCTGTCAGACAGATTGTGGGAACCACAACTTGTACTAGATTCACTGTAAAACATCAGATCAAGTGGTTTGGCCATCTCGTTAGAATACAGCAATATCAAATACTATCACAGGCACTACATCTTACATGATCCGCTACAAGAGCAAGAGGCCAAAATCGGATCGACAACATTAAGGACATTACAGCTTTATAGCATGACGATAGCCAGTGCCAACCATCATGTACTGGATCACAAATTATTCCTCCCCACGATGTCAAACGACAGAAGTGGCCGATAATGATGAATTTAAAGGTGTTTAAAGATAACAGGATCTTCTTCTTCATGTTCATCGGCTGTGAACTCCGTAGGAAAGTTCTGGTTGTTCGCCCACCTCTGCAAATTAGTCTTGTTCCAGAACCTGAGTGTTGTTTGCACATCCATTTTACAGATCTCACATGTATGCATATTGTTGGTTCTTTGAAGGTATAACAGGATCGCCTTAATTGCACTGGTAATTATGCCATATCTGTGCATAGACGCCCACAAATCATGAACGATCTGCAAAAAAATTTAACATAAGTAAAAGGAAAGATACTTTTTTACGCCTTAGGCACATAGGGCATATAGAAAGAGCATTCATATTTTTACAGACCAATTGGCACTAGGTGGAAAATGTGGTCAGCATTAGTTTGACCGTCTTTACTTCCCCAGGACAGCCATCCTTGTACTCACTTTAAGCTGGGTCGAACTGCAATTCTCCGTACCATGATAAAAACCCACGCAGCCAGCAGTGGGTTTCGATCACGGGACGTTGGAATTACGAGTCGGACTTGCAAGGCCTATTTTTGTGCAAATTTGTCCCATTCCCTCTATTGAGCTTTGTACTCAAATGTTATTTTATTTAGCATTATAGAAAAATATATAAAGTTTTATTGAAACAAAAACAGTCAAATACAGATGTTCTGAAGAATTTAGAAAGGAAAAGAGAGTTGCTGACCAAATATAAAAATAAAGAGACAACTGAAATGTTTTGGCCATATTAAAAGATACTCTTTTAAAAATCATAGAGGACAGAAAAGTTGATAGCGAGAGGTAGACTACAATATAAGTAGGAAGACATTAAGAGTTGGTCATGCAACCAGACATGCTGCCACAAAGAAAAAATGGGGGTGGCTACCACCCTCTCAACCACATGTTCATCACTACCGAGGGGGAACAAAATAAAACATTAAGGAGCCGCATAGTATACCTTACTATCAGACTGTGATGGATTGTGGTTGCTCAATGTCTTGAAGATTCAGCTAGAAAAACTGGAGCACATACAGAATGAAGCTATGCAGGTGATCCTGGGATGTACAAAAGACATCCTTATTTTGTGCATGTGATACATCCTTGCATTGCCGACTATTGCAGATAGACTAAAGGTGCTGCAGGCTAAGTCATACCTCAGAGTAGCTGTAGACAGGGAACACACCCTTTGTATGAAGCTTTGGCTGCATGTAAGGGTCAAAGGGTGAAAATGGGAAAATCGTGGATGGCTCAAGCCGAAGACAATTATGCATGCTGGAGAACATTAGGCGAGGGGAGGAGTGGGTCAGAGTATCAGCGGAAAAGTTTAACTTGTGTAGGGTTATGATCACATTGGGCCGGATGTGCAGAGAGTGCCCACAGGGTGCTGCAGAGATGGAAGTCCAACAGTTGATTCACGACAATTCACGCCCAGGGGATCTGATTTTCTATACAGAAAGTTCAGTGTTGAGAGGAAAGAGACGTGCCTGGGATTTCGTAGCGAAAGCCAATGGAAAATCTTTAGTGCAAGACAGCTTAGTATACGACACCACAAGATCTAGCATGAGAATGGAGGTGGACGCGGTAACTGCAGATTTCCGGTGGCTTGAGAACAAAATGCACACACATGTCTTAATTATAACAGACTCTGAAAGCATGCTGAGAAAGGTAAAGACGGGGATGCTTCAAGTAGAGTAGCAGGCTTCACTGGAAAGGTCACAGGTTGTGAGCATACTTTGGATCTTTTCTCCAGTCTACGCCGGCGTGGTGGGTAATAAACAGGTAGACAGATTGGCTGGATCTGCACCACTGGGTAGTGAATTGATACATGACAAGGCAGATATGGTCAAGGCCCCTTTGGGAACAAGCAACGGAATTAGTAGAGATAGAAGATTTTTATGGCCTGGAGAGAATGAGGCACCTGGGTGTAACCAGAGGGTCTGGCCAGCTCACTACACTCAGAAGAAAGGCAAGATGGACATATAACCAGATTGTGATCGGTACCATCAGTACTGGAACTCTACGCTGGCTGCTGAAGATGAGGATGGGGCATCCATGGGAATGCCCTGAGTGCTGTGATGTCAATTCTTGACTCATCTCAACTTCCAGATTGTATTTCTTCTCTTAGTATGTTGGAGCAGTCAAAGTTTGAACGCGAGTACTTGTTCATAATCACTTTAAATTCTAATATACCTCTGTGCAAACGTAAAAGTTTTGTCCAATCTGGCACAACACCGCTGGCTTATAAGTGTGTGGCTGGCAGGACAAGCTCGGCAATGGTTTCATGTGGACAAGTTTCAGTCAAATCAATCGGGGTTGGACTTGTTAAGGGGCGGTCGCAGAAGTAAGTAAATTTTACACCACCAGGACATCACACAGAGCGATAAACACCCGGTGACACAAAGTGCCACCATACTGATGAGGATCACCCATGGAGAGGTCTCAGAAACCGCGTACATCCTTTAGGCTAAATTGCGGCTCCTGGCAAAAGCCGGGGTGGGGCTTCAAAATAGCGAACAATTGCGTCCCACATGGGGACGACCTTGTGTGATTAGCAGCAATTCAAGGTCGCAGAATTAGAGATTCAACAACTGATTCATGTCAATTTGTGTCCAGTTGATATCACTATCTTTACATATAGTTCTGCTCTGCGAGAATTATCGCATACTATATAGAGCCAATTTTAACATACGGCTGTGAATCCAGGACAATTAATAAACAAGCCGAACAATAATTTGAGGCCTTGGAGATTTGATTTTTACCGAAGAATACATAAGAGTTCATTGGGCAGTTAAAAAAGATCAACCCAGATGTTTCGGAGGGCTCGAAGACAACTCATTACAAACATCAGAAAGTGACAGTCATCATTTTTGGGTCATGTTTTGAGAAGAGGGAAACTGGAACATGGTGTGACTACTGGAAAGATCTGTGGAAAGAGAGACAGAGGAAGACAGTGTTAGGAAATGTTTATTCA